GCTTGCGCGAAGTGTTCAGGCAGCGCATTATTTTCCAGGGGTTTTGTGGTTGAAGACAAGGTGTAACATATTAGAGCTGTTTAAGGATCTCATATAGATTCTGTAGAACCACGCCGGAATGTGCTCGTGAATCCTGTGCTACGGGCGACTCTTAGTGCGACCCACGTACGGTGCACCACAAGCGCATGCGTACTGATAAACGAACATTTAACGTGTCAACGAAGGTAGTCCACCCTTCAAGGGCTTTGTAAGCAGTGACTTGTTGTAGTAACCTTTTTAAGGGGGCGCGAAATAAGTTTTCTCAACGTCTTTCAAGCTTCGGGATAGAATATCAGCTGTAGAATCACTCTTGAATAGTAAGTACATGAACAGCTCTTCTTTGAGAGCATATGAATTCTGACCTTGTCACACCGTATATCTCACTTTTCTGCAGCGTATTCGCGGCACAACTTCGACTAGCATGGAGGACTTCACCATTGCAGGTGCTATGATTGGTGATCTCTGGGGGAACGATGCCTTGGTACTTCAGTCTCGCAATTAGCGTCATTATGCGGCTTTCGATTGTGGTCAACACGACTATAGCGTGTGTCTATTTTCTTGAGTCAACCTGCATCCCTCACAAACGATGGATAGACCCGATCTCAGGAATATGATACTCTAATAGTCGTGAAGGTGCACAGGTTCATACTCACACTATGCACCAAAGTGGACGGGGGAAAACGGGACAACCAGGTTACAGCCCATGAGCAAGGGGAACGACACTCGCAAGCAAGAGAAGAGCTTTCTCTGTCGCTTCCTGCTTGCACAATTTGGGTTGCGTTTGTCGAACCGCAGTATGGCTTGAACATCATTCACTCGCAACGAGACTGGACCTTAACGTGGTGCGACGGTTTGCGTACCTCGTTGACCTATTGAGCTGTACTGGGTGATGCGTCCGGGCATCTTGAGAGCTACTCCTACCAGGTTGGTCAGTGGTGAGAGGTCAGACAAACTCAGTCTCCTGGTCCTCCAGGTTGGGGGTTTGAAATGGGATGGCGTCCATTTCTGTAAAGCTAAATCATTGCCACCTCGCCGCTGCGTTGCGGACAGGCTTTTGAGCCAAAGGCTTTGGATGAGGACCCTAATCGTGCTCCTGTCTAGGTCCGGGCGCCCTGGCAGTATCTCAGCTCACATACAACCATGAGATTTTCTTCAAATATAAACTTCAACTTGCATCGGCCGTCGCGCAGATTATCAAGGGTTGCCTTATCTGCTGCATACGGCAGGGCGGATAAGCGAAAACATGCTACTGCTGGCGCCTCCCTTCTTTCTTTTCCACCTTATTCTCTTACTCCCATCCCGACCCCCATTACTAACCTCCCTTCTATAATTCCCAGCTTAGTTGACAGCAACCGAAGTGCCACTGGAGTAGAACCATCTGCAGCCACCATCCCACTGCACCTATCGGACGCCTATCGGCAAAAGTCCCTTATAAGGCCACGCTATCCCGTTTCCATAGCGACATTCAACGTTCGCACTCTAAGACAAACTGGTCAACAGGCTGCACTCGCATGCACCTTGAATACACTGCGTATTGGTGTGTGTTGTGTGTCCGAAACAAGGACCAATGCACCCGGCTTATCCTCTCGCTATTGGTTGCACGCATCTGGAGACGTCGATGCATCACTCACGCGTCAAGCTGGTGTAGGTATCATTCTAACCTCCAAGGCTAAGTCATCGTTGCTTGATTGGATTCCGGTGAACAGCCGTTTATGTGCAGTCCGTTTGACGAAATCAGCCAAGGTTGATTCACGAAGTAGTACAAAACGCTGTTTGTTTGTAATTTCCGCTTATGCTCCCACCGACTACAGTTCAGATGTTGTCAAGGACACATTCTATGACGAACTGAACGTGATACTACGCAGTGCTACTAGTTCAGATAATATAGTGCTTGCAGGTAATATCAACTCACAAATAGAGCGTCTGAGCTCTTCAGTCAGCTGGGTGGTAATTGTGGGCTTAACTGCGAACGGACCGACAACGGTGAGTGTCTGCTGGTGCGGAGCACCAGTTGTTTCTTAGTAGGACTGCTTTTAGACACAGTGGGCGCAAAGTGCCACTTGGTGTCCTCTTGTAGCTGGCCAGCGATGGACCCAAATTGACCACATTGCAATGTTGCAGGTGGCGTGGTTCCATCCTGGATTGCCGCTCATACTGAAGTACCTGTGTCGACTCTGATCATGCCTTGGTACGCTGTCGTTTCTCCATGAACTTTACCGGGAGGCGCACTAAGCGTCCCCTACAATTGGCAACGGAGAAATTGTCTCAGTCCTCGGTCAGGCAAGCCTATCAAGAAGCACTGCGTACCGAACTTTCGCTGTCTTGTCCAAATAACACTGAGCTTCAGTGGAATAGGATCTCGGCCATCATGAACGACGCAGCAGCATCTGTTTGTGGTACTATCCATCGTCATCGCACCAGTCACTGGATATCCGAGAGGTCAGTGAAGCTGTTGGAATCTAGCAGGTACCTTCTGGCTGGCTCTGAACACAATGTGACCAGACGGGCTATTAGGCGTGAACTAAAGCAGAGTCTACGTGCTGACAAGGATGCCTGGTGGACCAGTAGGGCTCAAGAAATGGAGGAGGTAGGAGCAGTAGGCAATTACCGCAAGTTCTTTCAGCTAATCCGCACCACTGGTCCCAGAAAACTAGGCGTCAGTGAGACAATCAGAGACAGCACGGGTGCGCTGATACACAATAAGCAGCGCCGTATGGCTCGTTGTGCGGAACACTTTCAAGATCAGTTCAGCTGGCCTCCCGCTCCCGGACCTCTTCCTACTCAGGTGATGCAGGACGAGCGATGGACGGTTAGTTTAGAGCCTCCGTCAGAGGCCGAGGTCGGAAACGCGATCACAGCCCTTAATCGTTTTCGTGCCGCTGGCCCGGATTCTCTCCCACCTGCACTATTTAAGGATGGAGGTGAGGTCCTCTGCAAAGCACTGACCTCCCTATCCGAACGTATCTGGAAAGAAGTGTGTCCCGACTAATTGGGGCGAATCGATTATAGTGGCAATATACAAGAAGGGCAGTCGCACAGACTGTTCTAACCACAGGGGTATTAGCCTCACGCCAGTTGTGACAAAATTATTGGCCTCGAGTATCGTTCGTCGCCTCACTGTGGAACGGGAATCTCGGATTAGGGAGGAGCAGGCAGGTTTCCGCCCAGGGCGTGGCTGTATAGACCATATATTCACTTCGCGGCAGGTGCTAGAGCAGCGCCACGCATACCGCAGACAGACAATAGTTGTGCTCCTCGATTTCAAGAGTGCGTTCGATTCAGCCGATCGATTCATTCTGTTCGCAATACTTGCGCACAAGTTTGTTCCCACGAAACATGTGAACATCGTTCGTACTCTATACTCGAACACTACAGGCCGCGTCAGGGTTTACGGTGTCCTATCGGATAGCTTTCGGACCACAAGTGGCGTTCGTCAGAGTTGTCCGATTTCCCCATTTTTGTTCTATTTCGTCGTGAATTCCATCATGGAGTGTTCCCTTGCGGAATCTCACGTTGTAGGCGTTGAAGTGCTGACTGGTGAAAGTGTAGTTGATCTAAATTATGCGGACGATATCGTCTTGCTTTTCGACGATGTTGGGCGACACAATCAACCCTGAATAGCCTGTCCAAAGTGGTCCCATTATTTGGTATTCACTTCGTGCCTTCAAATTACAAAGTGTTGCTGCAGGACCACCAGCCACTTGATGATCCCTCGACGCTTGCTAACGAGGAACTCGAGATGGTTGATCATTTCACTTATCTTGACAGCTGCATCAGCAACGATGGGCACATAGAAGCTGACGTCAGCTCACGCATTGTAAAAGCCAGGGCTACCTTCTTGAACCTGCGTCATATTTGGCGACAGAAAGGGATTTCCCTCCGTCTGAAAGGCCGTGTATACAAGGCCGCAGTGATGGCCGTTCTGCTGTATGGTAATGATACTTGGCCCCTTCGGTCTGAAGATCTGAGGCGCCTTCAAGCCTTTGATCATCGTTGTCTGCGAAGCATTGCTGGTGTCGGATGGCACCAGCGTGTCCGCAATGATGATGTGCGTAGGCGAGTACTAGGTGGTGATGATCATGCTAGCACCCTAGAACAACAGATAGCACTGAATAAGTTGCGTTGGCTCGGGCACGTGCTCCGTATGCCTGGTCACCGCTTACCTAGGAGGGCCTTGTTTAGTCTACCAGATGTAGGGTGGCGCAAGGCTCGAGGTGGATAGGAGTTGATGTGGCAACCCGAAAAGGAAGTCAGTGACGACGAAATCGGGTGCCGTTGGTCCGTCTCGCCTTCCGGGCTGGAGTCCACGTGACTCGCGTTGTGCTTGGCTCGAGACTTTACAGGACGTGGCTCGGAGCCGACACCAGTAGCGCATCTGCTGCCGTCTTTTAGTCGGATTGCCTGTTTAAAGTGTGTTTGGTGCTGTGTTCTCTGCGGGGTAATGGCTGATTATGGCGCGGGGCAGTGAAAGCCACAATGTAGTTGTCTCACCGATGCCGCCTTATGTTTGCGCGATATCCGGCTGTTTGTGACGGTATGTTGTTAACACAAGGTGTAGGCGCCTTGACCCTGAATGTTTGCTTAGGGCATTAATTTTTTCAGGTAAGTCCCCCTTCTCTCCCTCTTCTTATTCTTTATTTCATAGGTCATCGTGTTTGTACGGCAGCGAAGCATCAGTTCAAATGGTTGATGTACTGTTGTTATTGATGATGATGATGACTCGCCTTCTTCTTTGTTAACGCTGTTGAATTTTTGCTTATAAAATAAGTTGTATCTTCCTTTTCTACGGAACGTCCAGTTCTATGTGCGAGTGGTATATATATATATATATATATATATATATATATATATATATATATCTATATATATATATATATATATATATATATATATATATATATATATATATATCCTTTTTAATGTGCTCAACGCCTACCACTCATTTTCTAATTGCTCTAGCTTCTGTGCCATGCATTTGGTGTTCATGGTTGCAGAGAAGCCCTCACTAGCGGAGTCAATCGCAAAATCACTTTCTCGAGGTCGCTGCTCTTCTCGCCGCGGTTTCAACGGCGCCTGTCATGCCCATGAGTGGTTGGGGTCTCTAATGGGCGAGCAAGTCCGATTCAGGATGACTTCCGTTTGTGGTCACGTGATGACCACTGATTTCAACAGTCGATACAATAATTGGGACCGCGTTGACCCAGTTTGTCCATAATTTTGTGGTACACAAACAATTGCTTGTTTGTTAAAGGCTGAGTTATTCGTCGCTGAAATCGAGAAGAAGGAAGCAAATCCCAAGCTGAAAATGTTAGATTATCTGCGTCAAGAGGTTGCACTCTTATTTACATCTTCATTTATTTTAGTGGCTTAGGCAAGGGGCGCTGGTATTTTAATTCTCTGGTTGGATTGCGACAAAGAAGGTGAAAACATTTGCTTCGAAGTGATTGACTGTGTGGAAACTGTTATGTCTTCTCCGGTAAGTTCCACATCTAACCCATGTCACTCGATATCACCACATTTCTCATGTATTTTTGTATGTAAGAAAAACTTGGCACCTTTTCTGCTGGGTTGAAATATGCATCCTTGCTGCGGTTACTCTTTTTCACGCTCGAGTCTGCCACGCAACTCTCTTGCCGATTTCTTCCGACACTTTTTACGCTTACGTCATGGTCATTTCAAACACTTTTGCCTCCTACCACGAAGTGTTGAATGGTGCTCCAACGCACTTCGTTCTCTATCGAAACCGAAATATGGCTTACTGTCTAGGAATCTCGTCTACATTGCAAGTGCTGGATACCACTGAGTGGTGAATAAGTTACCTGCATCCCTTCTTCTTAACCAACAGTCATGCATTTGCCGCGTTTGTTGCCGATCCCTTACTTTTTATCCGTAGGCCACACGGTTGCGTTTGGCTCATTACTGCATATAGCATCTTGAAAGGCAATTTAATCTGCCGGGATTGTCAGATTTCTTGCCGGCCAATGACCGCCCTGCTCCCTGGATTGTATCTTTGGATCCATCCTCTCGCTCAGAAATCTAGCGTGAGATCAGACTGCTAACGCTGAACAAGGCCCTTGGCCCAGATGATCTTTATCCAGCCTTCTCCAGATTAGGGAACATGTTCTTGTTTGTGACAGCTCACGAGTGTCTCAAGCTGCACTGGACAGATGAGCATTGGACACCCGCCGTTTCGGGCTTTACCTTGCACCATCGGAGTGCGGTGGTTTTCTCCAAGATTTTCAGGGATCGTCTCCTGCGTTGACCCTTGTTAGGATCAGCTGTAAGTCTTTCAAAAATTCAACTACCTAGGTAGCTGTATCAGCGCCGGTGGAATGGAAAACGAGGTCGCGCAGGAAAAGCTCGAGATGCTTTTGCTAACCTTCGCCACCTATAGCGCCGGCGCGACATTACCCTCTCTCTCTCTCTGAACGGTAGAGTTTACAATGTGGCTATCCGAGATAAAGTAAAAGCATCAAGCAAAACCAGTGATTTCAGCGATTAATCCTATAACTTTGATTGTGCATTTTTTTGAAGATTCGAGTACCTTCCATTCGTTCACCTTACCGCCAACATACGGAGCTTTGGCAAGGAAGCTACTAATTTTACCAGTTGACCTTCATCCGACTGTACTGTACGATTGTCAAACCTGATTCATTAGATTGACAGACGCAAAAAGGCTAGCTAAGTTCCTCCGCCGCTGCCTTCACAGTTCGGCTCATATCTGTTAAAAACATGGTGTACACAGTGAGCGCGTTCGACACCTTGTTTATAACACAGGGTGAGGACGTGGAGCGCTTAGCACCGTTATTTCACAAAACACGCTCCAATGGCTTTGTCACATGTCGCGCATGCCAGCACACGGACTCCCGCGACGTGTGTTGTTTGCGCGCCAGGGTGTGGATGAAAAAGAGGGAGGCTAAGTGATGACTTGGTCAAGAGGAATTAAGGCGTATAATTCGAACTTGGCTTCATTTGGAGGCTCTCGGCTTCCTGCTTGGGATTTGAAAAACGATGAGCACGTTTTGTTAGATACACTTGCTGAAATGGCTAGGAGATGATCTCACTGCTGTTTGTTTTGTTAGTATCTTTGTCCCTCCGCTTCCAATCACGACCTCATTTCTTAGTATATAAATTTTGCATGATGTAATATTTTGCGACACAATACTGACTAGTAGCTTTACGATACGATACCCATCCGTTATTGGTGATTCAGCTGGCGTGCCTCAGTTGCACTTTTTTCCTTTTCTTAGGTGTTGCGATACAATAACTAGGGTATTTTCCATCTCTAACCAACGTGTATGATGATGATGATGATGAACAGTTACCTCGATAGCCTAGGGCTAGACTATGGCAAACATTAATATAGAAGAGAAATATGACCTAAAAGCTCGACAGTACAACATAATAAGCTTAGTTTACAAGCAAACGGTTATCTAACCTTATCTTTAGGTCAAGGTTGCAGTAACGGACATATGTGCCGTTTTTGCACACATAATTCCGGTTTCAGATGGCATATGTATATATACTGGGCACTGGACAGCAGCTACTTGAGGAAGCTGACATGAAACGTTCAGGTAATGAGTATATGACTTGGAAGCCATCCGCAGAGGTTATGTTGTCAAAATCATAATGTGACAAAGTTGAGGTGTTTGAGGATCTCATCTCGCCTTTGTAGAACTACGCCAGGATGTGCTCGCGAATCCTGTGAAATAGGCGACTCTTAGTACGATTCACCTACAGTGCATCACAAGAACACCAGCATTTAACGGGTCAACGAAGGTAGTCCATCCTTCAGAGGCTTTGCAGGCAATTACTTGTTGTATTAAACATTTCTCAAGTGGGCCGCGAAATAATTTTTCTTGATATTTTTCAAGCTCCGTGATAGAATATGAGCTGTAGAATCACTCTTGAATAGTAAGTGCGTTAACAGCCCTTTATTTTAGGATCAGTACTCTTTGATGGCTTGGGTTTATGTTCCTTCAGATACTTCGAGATAAATTTGTCTGGATAGCCATTTTCTCTCAGGGCATCGCTGATTCTTTGTAATTCTTTCTTGACGGCGTTCGGTATGCATACACTGCTCGCTATGAAGGCGAGAGATCGGACCAAACTTCTCTTGTACTGTAATGGCACTGCATTGTGGTAGTTCATCTATTATCCAGTCCATGTATGCTTTCTGCGCACCTTTCTATTGAGAGATCCGTGAGAGATGCTGATATCGTCTACATGCAGAGAAGGTAGTCGGTTTCCGCACTCATGCTCGCTAGTGAAGTGGAGATTCTGATGCGCATCATTTAAAGCTTTCAATGACTGTGCAGCATGTTGTTCCCATTTGTGTGTAGCACGAAACTTTTTGACCGATCTCCGATCTGATTTTCTTAATTGCTCCACTGTGATAGCAGTTAAATTCAGTTATGCTCCGTTACCATTTCTTATTCGTCGTTAGGGTCATTTGGGTTTTGACCATTCTTTTTTCCCCGATGTTCTTCCCCATTTACGCTGGACTGTCCTTTTTTCAGAAGCGAATATTGCGCGCACATTTTAGCGCTGTAACGGAGCAAGAACTTGACGGCGCCATGAAAAATCTTCGCAGTCCAAACAAGCTAGAAGCCCTATCTGTTGATGCAAGACAAGAACTTGATCTGAGAATCGGGTGCGCATTCACGCGGTTTCAGACAAAATTCTTCCAAGTTCGTTCTTCTTAGTCGTTTACTGGCCGCGCATCTCGTCGCTGGTTGGATTCGTCCTATCTCAATTATGTGGTACAAAGTCCCATTTTAGTGTGTTTTAACTTTTACGACGTTTACTCAGTATTGTTGCTTTGCTAACCCATAAGCAATTTTGCCTGAAAACATCGCTTACACATTTATGTCATGGTCATTCGGCTCAGAAACACTATCTATTCGGTGGCTGATTCATCCCTGTGATGCACACAGTTTCCAGTTGCACCACTACTTTTTTATTTGTTTGACACACGGCAACCGACTGATTATTGGTATCCTGTAACCTTGATTGCATCTACCGTCTGTGCTTCATTTGTGATACACTAGGCTTTCGGTTAGCTTTCAGAGGTTATTACACTTCTATTTTACCTACAATGAGTCTGTCGTTTACTGTCGGTTGATATTACTACAGTCAAACCTGTCTAAGGCGACCACTCATGGAACTGACAAAGTGGTCGCCATAGGCAGGTTCTTGCATGGGGACGTTACTCATAAGAGAAAATGTTGGAGATGTTTTTGGTTAGTCGCTATAGCAGGTTGGTCTGTATTACCAAAGTTTGGGTTTGGTGTTCCACTATGTTGCTCCTTCTCCACTCTTTATTACAACGAGTACATGGTGGTAATTTGGCCTACTCGCTTCACTCCTGTGGTTATCGACGACCAGACAGATCCATTGACATTGCCCACCGAGCCAATTTATATTTGGTCCATCCATCCGTTGTTTCCTTACTACACAGCATCCTCATCTCAGCGTTTAGGTGCTTGAACCCACCCGAGTACTTTTGTTTGGTTCCTTCTCACCTCAATTCTCTTACCAAGCTGTACAACCATTATCGAACTCTGTGCATAAAAGCATATCTATTTGTTACCGATGTCTATACAGTCCTTAAGCTCGCGGGTTTGTTCATCTACCAGGTTTATTCGGAGTGATGAGTTCACCCGTAACACGAACAATCTAATCCAGAGGACGGGTATCATGGTCTTTAGTGCGTTTAAATGAATCAAATGGTAGTCAGCAACGGGCGCACACACTTAGGCATACGTTCGGCTCAGTTCAGTTGGACAACTATAATCCAAGCACTGTAGCAGATCTAGTTGACGTGGCTCGCGTCGCCACAATATTGATTGAAAATGGTGTATGATAGTAAGGGAAAACTTATAGGTAAGGGCACAATAACGTGAAGAATTTGGAAAAGGACAAGAAATAGTAATCTGATTAAAAGGGAAGCATTTGGATACATGAGACCAGATGTGGCAGCTTCAGGAAATCCGCTTCTGCGTTATATTGGATAAGGTCGAGAGCCACCAGTGTTATCAACTTGAAGCCCAGATCCTGCCTGGTCAACTTTCCTGTGCTATCAGTGACGATAAAGGAATGTCGTTTAACCAAGACAGACTATTTCGTCTGGACAGTAAGTTTATGACATCATTGTCATCGTTCTGTGCGAGTTAAGGTAATCCAGCAGAAGCTACTGTGTCAGGCGAAGCAAATTCTTCTTTAACGTTCTCCATCCAACAGTCTAGTCCTTTTGTTTAAGGAAAGATCAACAATTCATCCTTTACTGAACCCGTTCTGGGGATGAACCGGAGCAATGATTCGCTGTCTTGGACAGCATTGACTTCCACCTCAATATCTTGCTAACGCAATGAAACCCCTTCACTCAATTTCTTTATACTCTGGTTGTCATTGTGGATAATCAGGGGCACCCTATCTACTACATCGAGCGGAGTGGATAGGAAATGGGAATGCTACTGTTTGTGTCTTTTCGTCTTATTATTCCCCCTCCTCTATTTCTAACCCCTGTTATCTCCCATCTTTTCAATCCGCTCAATACTTGACCATCCCCTGCAACGCATTAATAGGCATTTATCTTCTAGTTTCAACTCACACAATCTCAGATCATCACTTCTGCCCTGTCGACAAGCCCATATCCAACAGTGTGGATAACCTCCGTTCATTCCTTTCTCTTGGGAGTCACCGATCATCGCTGACACTGACATGCCTCAAAGTGCGCACTTCGTTACAAATCCATCAACAAGCAACACTTGTCCGAACACTATGAATTTTATAGATCGATATCTGCTGCTTATCGTAAGCTATTCTGCTAGACTCGATCTCTGTGCCCACTTTCCGATCCCTTTCAAGTGACACGTACGGTACTTTCTTGCTGCGTCTATCCGGAGATGATGCACCTTCGAATGTCGGTTAAGCCGGTGTGGGCATTACTCTGAGTCTGCGGACTGAAGATGTCCCGATAAATTGGTTCCCGATCAACGGCCAATAAATGCTTGTTTGTCATTGCTACCTATACCCTCACAAACTGTAACACTGGCTGCGTGAAGGATGTCTTCTGTCAGCAACTGATCATCACAAAAGCGCACAGATACCATAGGGCTTGCTGGTGGTCTGCACGCTCAAGCTGAAAATTTGTACACTGACGAGCTTCATTTGGGCGACCAAAACGGTGTAGACACCCACAAATATAACGATGAGCGATGAAGCTGCCCGTCTATTTCTCGTGAGCAATAACTCCCGGCACAGCACCCGCCAGAAAGTGACATGGCGCTTATCAGCCTCAGACTATCTATCAGCACAAATTGGCCCCATCGCGATCAGTTACCGTTGGAGAGCTTGTGTCCGAAACTGTTGCTCAATTTGGAGCACGAGCGTGAACTCGGACCACGCACTCTTATGTCCAGCGCAATGAGGCTGAATCTTACCGTGGTGCTATGGTTTGCGTGCCTCAGCGATCCATTGAGCTATGCTGGGTGGTGCTTTTTTGCACCTACAGAGCCACTCATACCAGATTGGTCAATGGTTAGAGGCCAAACCAACTCAGCCTCTTGGTCCTCTAGGTTGGGGGTTGAAGTAAGTGTCGCTCCTTGCTTCATGAACGGACTCCTTGTACCCCGCTATCTTGCGGTCAGATTATCGAGCCGAAGACTTTGATTAAGAACCCTAATCTTTCTCCTGTCTAGACCTGAGCAACCTGACAGTATCATGCCCACGCAATACTATGAATTTTTCGTCAAACAATTTATTGATGCTCTGGCCACCGCAGATGATAATCAACGGTGCCCTATCTGTTGCATCGAGCACCGTCCCATTCTAACTACACTTTTATCACCCCGTTCCCGACCCCTTAATTCTTGGCCCTCTCCCACCATGTTTTGATAGGCGTTTATCTTCTAGTTTCAACCCATATGCAAACGTGGAGTGTCGCTCTTGACCTATCAACTAGCCCATGTCTAACCAAGCGGTCAAACCTAGTTCATCGGCTTCTATTTGGATCCCTCGATTCTCTCTCAGTTTGGCATGCCTCAATGTACGCACATTTTTACAGGTCTGTCAGCAGGCAGCACTTGCCCGAACATTAGAGACCCTCTCCATCGATATCTACTGCTTGTCAGAAAGACGCTTGCAAGACCTGAGCTCTGTACTCACTCTGCGATCCCCTTCAGATGACACTACCATCGTCTGCTCATTGCGCCTATCCGGAAACGATGCAGCTTCGAGTACCGGCCAATCCGGTCTTGGTATTGCTCTGAGTCCCCGGGCTGAAGCTGCTCTGGTTGATTTGATCCCAATCAGTAGTCGGATGTGTACGGTCCGACTGACTGGCTCGTTCAAAGCTTCGGAGTCATGCGGGGCTAATATATGTCTGTTTATCATCGCTGCCTTCACCCCCACAAACTGTAGCGATGATTCCATGAAAGACGACTTCTATCGCCAACTAAACGAGCTCCTTTGTCACAGAAGGAGCGCGGACACTGTGGTGCTTGCTGGGGATCTGAACATTTAACTTGAAAAATTGTCCATTGAGGAACTGCATCTGGACAGCCAACATGGTGTAGGCTGCTATAATGATAACGGTGAGTGGTTACTACATTTGAGTGAAGATGCTCGCCTATTTCTTGCGAGCACTAACTTCGGACACAGCACCTGTCGGAAGATGACATGGCGCCTACCAGTCTCGAACCAGCCATTTACGCAAATCGATTACATCGCGCTCAGTTATCGCTGGAGTGGCTGCGTCCAGAACTGTCGCTCGATTTGTAGAACATATATGGACACTGACCATGCACCTGTATGTGCTGATCTGCTAGTGCCCTCGCCGTCGACGACCCTGTGGGCGCATGGACACCAGCCAACTGGCGAACCCAGATGTTCTGAATGCGTATCGAAGTACGCTGGCGCTCGGGTTTAGCAGGCGCTCACTGAATATGCTTGAAGGTCACTGGTCTCATATTCACCTGACCTTACTTGCTGCAGGTAAATCATCATGTGGCAAATCCACTAGCCAAAATATACATCGGCCGACTTCGCAGTCTCTGAAACTTATCGATGGTCGCCGGCACATCCGGCATGAAGCGAACACAAGACTCGCAAAGACATCAGGGCAAAACTGCGTGCTAGCCTGAAGAAAGATCGCGAATCTCGGTGGTCTCATCGTGCGTCGGCGGTGGAATTGGCTACTGCCCTTGGTAACCGTCTGATGCGGGAAACGGACAGCTGAAGACCTGGTGTTAGTGAAACAATATGTGACGAGAGTGGACTGCAGGTCCACAACTTGTCAAAATGTTTGGAGCGTTGGGCTGAGCATTTTGAAAAGCAATTTAATCGGTCGGAATTGTTAGCTTCCTGACCGGCCAGGGATCGTCTTGCTCCCTGAGCTGTTTCTTTGGTTCCGCTCTCTCGCTCAGAAGTCGAACGTGTGATCAGACTATTGAAGTTGAACAAAGTCGCTTGCCTCTGTTCCAAACTGACTGGCACTCGTGAAAGCCAGATTCATGAAGAGCAAGCCGGATTTCGTCGTGGTCGGAGATGCATCGACCACATCTTTACTTTGCATCAGTTGTTGGAGCACCGTCACAATTATTGGCGATCCACCGTTGTCATGTTTCTCGACATCAAAAGTGCCTTCGATTCAGTGCATTGTCGTGTCCTTTAGGCGTGTCTGCTAAGG